TTTGAGACAGGATCTCCCCAAATGGCTGAGACTGGCCTTGAATTTGGGATCCTCCCTCTTCAGTCTCACTACTTGCTGGGATTACAGGCAAGCATCATCAGGTCTGGCCTGCCTTTTTTTTTTTTTTTTTCTTCTTTTTGGTACTGGGATTGAACCCAGGAGCACTTTTACCAGTGAGCTCCATTGTAACCCTTCTTATTTTGAGACACTGTCTCACTAAATTGCCAAGTGTGCCATCAAACTCGCGACTCTCCTGCCTCGGCCTCCGCAGACTGTGGGATTATGGATAGGTGCCACTGTGCATTGCTGGTTCACTTCATTCTTCATGAGGGACATGCGCAATTATGCATTTCAGTATCTTCAGGGGTTCCTAGAACAAGTTCACAATCCCCCAAACCAATTCCTGGATACCTAGGGATGAACATGTAGACATACACTAGGACCTACAGGTGTCATTCTCAAGAACTTGAAAGCCAGGCCCATGTGGTGCTGCATGCCTCTAATCCCAGCTACTCCAAAAGCTGAGGCAGGAGGATGACAAATTGATGGCTAATCTAGGCAATCTAGGGAGACTCTGTCTCAAAATTAAAAGAAAGAAAAAAAACAGAGGGCTGGGGGATACAGCATAGTGCTAATTTTTGCCCAGCATGCAGGAGGTCCTGGGTTCCAATCCCCAGTACAGCAGAACAACTAACCAACTACAAAACCCTGAAAGCCATTCTTTTGAAATGTAATCATCAAAAAAAAAAAAAAAAAAGAAAAAAGAAATGTAATCATCAGGACTCTGTAGAAGGAGAGAATCCTAACTTCTGTAATTGCTAGCTAGTAGAAATGGTTGATCTAATATCTTTCTTTTCTTTTGTATTTTTGGTACCTGGGATTAAACCAGGGGTGTTCAAACACTGAGCCATATCTACAGCCCCCGCCCCCCTTTCAACTTTGTTGTACTAAATGTAAAAAAGTACAAAGAATTCGCAGAGTGCAGTGGCACATGCCTGCAATCCTAGTGGCTCTGGAGGCTGAGGCAGGAGAATCAGAAGTTCAAAGCCAGCCTCAGCAACAGCAAGGTGCTAAGCAATTCAGTGAGACCCTATCTCTAAAAAAATACAAATTAAGGCTGGGAATGTGGCTCAGTGGTTGAGTGCCCAAGTTCAATTCTGGATATGGAGGTGGGGTGGGAACAAAATAAAACCAAACCAAAAAACTGTAAAGAATTCAAACACAGGGCTGGGGATGTGGCTCAAGCAGTAGCGCACTCGCCTGGCATGCGTACAGCCCGGGTTCAATCCTCAGCACCACATACCAACAAAAGATGTTGTGTCTGCCGAGAACTAAAAAATAAATATTAAAAAATTCTCTCTTTCTCTCTCTCTCTCTCTCTCCTCTCTCTCACTCTCTCTTTAAAAAAAAAAAAAGAATTCAAACACAAAAGAAAACATGTACGTACAGCCTCTATAATATTCAACAGAATCTATTTTCTATTCCAACAGATGTAAAGTCACACTGTATAACTTCAAATAAATACCAGCCTTATATTGTAAGTGGTGCTGAGGATCGAACCCCGCCTGCATGCATGCCAGGCGAGCGCGGTACCGCTTGAGCCACATCCCCAGCCCCTAGTCTTGAACTTTCAATCTTCCTGCTTCAGCCTCCAGAGTACCTGGGATTGGCTGCAGGTCCAAAGCACCTGATCTATTTTTCCTATATAACCCATTTTCTAAAACTGTACAATGTCAAAAACCTCAAAGCAATCAAAGACGATCTCACTCATTAAAATCACGTTTTATATTATGATAAGACTAAACATTTCATTTTACTGGCTTTTTATCTGATTAGAACTTTGTTTTTGTTTTCAGTGCTGGAAACTGAACCCAGTGGTGCTGTACCACTGAGATGCATTCTAGACGACATTGCTCAGGCTGTCATTGAATGTGCCATCCTTCTGTACAGCCTTCTGCATAGCTGGGATTATAAACTAGAATTACAGGCAAGCACCACTGCACCCTATGGGTTTTTTGTTTGTTTTGATACTGGGGATTCAACCACTGAGCTATATCCCCAATCCTTTTTGTTTTGGACATGGTTTCACTAAGTTGCTTAGTGTCTGACCAAGTTGCTGAGACTGGCCTGGAATTTGAGATCCTCTTGCCTCAATCTCTTGAGCCACTAGGATCATGAGCATGCACCACCACACCCAACTGTTTGTCTTTTTTTTGGGGGGGGGGCGGGGTACCAGAGATTGAACTTGTTATGCTCGAATTCGGGACCCCCAAAGACCACCAGAGACCCAAGATCGATGTAAGCAGCAAAGAGGTGTTCATTTCGAGGTAGCTCGGTCCTCTGCGAGCACACAGCAACTGGTGACGCTCAGAGGCCCCTAGCCCAGGGTTTGCAGCAGTTTTATACATTCTTTGGAGAGGGCAGGGACTTCACATACATCATAGCAAATCATCACACACCTCGGGAAAATCAAATAACAACTCTAAAACATGATGAGCACATTCACTGGCGAGAACAAGTTGGGTAGGGGTGATTGGTCAGTACATAAGGGGGATTCATTTGAACTGATTGGTTTAAGCCAAGAGGGGTGTACGTGCTGAATTACATGGTTTCCCAACACGTTATCAACCACCATAAACTACTGGGAGGGTCATCTGGCATCCCAGGTATTTCCCTGTCTCATGCTGATTGGTGGTTGATAGGGGGCTGCTGTGGATCCCCACCTAGCCTGACTGAGTCAGGGACACCTGGCACAGCCGATCTCTACTGTTATTTGGAGATAAACAATTTAGCAGGGTGGGAATGTGCCTAGGAGTGCTCTGTGGGTTTTTCCAAGGACAAAGGTGATATCCCTTCCTTGGACAGGCTTTGCTCTGAGATAGAGGCTGGTTTTTCAAACTCAGGGGCACTCAACCCCTAAACCATATCCTCAGCCCTATTTTTTTTTTTAAGAGAGAGAGAGAGAGAGAGAGAGAGAGAGAGAGAGAGAGAATTTTGTTCTCGGCAGACACAACATCTTTGTTTGTATGTGGTGCTGAGGATCGAACCCGGGCCGCACGCATGCCAGGCAAATGCGCTACCGTTTAAGCCACATCCCCAGCCCCCTATTTTGTATTTAGAAACAGAGTCTCACTGAGTTGCTTAGCACCTCAATGTTGCTGAGTCTGGCTTTGAATTCACGATCCTCCTGCCTCAGCCTCCCAAGCCGCTGGTATTACAGGCGTATGTCACTGTGCTCAGCTGTTTGTCTTTTTTAAGAGACAGGGAGGGTCTCACTATTTTGTCCAGGCTGCAGATTCCCAATACAGTGTTAGTACAGCCTGGAGCCATTGTAGAGCTAAGTACAAAGTACACATATACTTCGATGTAACTTTTGAAAAGAATATTTTCTATCTGGGTTGATTAAATCTGTGAATGTAGAACCCATGGATACAGAGGGCTGTGTCCCTTCACAATTATTTGCCATGGGCTGGGGATGTGGCTCAAGTGGTAGCGCGCTCGCCTGGCACGCGTGTGGCCCGGGTTCGATCCTCAGCACCACATACAAACAAAGATGTTGTGTTCGCCGATAACTAAAAAATTAATTAATAAATAAATATTTTTTAAAAAAACAATTATTTGCCATGTATGTTAAAAGTGTAATTTAGGATGTCCTGCTTGACAAATAACAGCTAAAATCCTTTATATTTTCATTTATTTTTGTAGTACTGGAAACTGAACCCAAGGGTGCTTTACCACTCAGCTACATCTCCAGCCCTTATTGAGACAGGGCCTTAGTAAGTTGCTGAGGCTAGCCTCAACTTTGAGATTTTTCCAGCCTCAGCCTCCCAAGTCACTGGGATTACAGGTGTGAGCCATCATGTGCCTGACTCAAATTCTTAATAGACTGAACCTTGCATTGGAATGAGACATCATCTTTATTATTCTGTTTTATTTGTGTGTGTGTGGCTTAGGATGGAATCCAGGATCTCATGCATGCTAGAACTCTTATCAGCCCAACCTTTATTGTTCTGTGAAACAAACCTGACCTTTGCTCTGGATGGTGGTAACATCTCTATCCTTTAAAATGGTCTGGAAAATAAGCCAATCCCCCCAAACCAAAGGCCAAATGTTTTCTCTGATATGTGGATGCTGATCCATGTGCAGGGGAAGAATGGAGGAATTCTGGATTGGGCAGAGGGGAGTGAGGGGAGGGGAGGGTGTGTGTGTGGGGGGGAAGGATGGTGGAATGAGACAGACCTCATTACCCTATGTACATGTATGACTGCACCAATGGTGTGACTCTGCATCATGTATAACCACAGAAAAAGTTGTGCTCCATTTGTGTACAATGAGTTGAAATGCATTCTGCTGTCATGTATAACTAATGGGAAAATAAAAAAATAATAGGTGCTTAAAAATTGTTAGAATATAAAATAAATAAAATGGTCTGGAGCAATTGTTGCCTTGCTCCTAACACATGAGGAACAGGAGACCCTAGGAGAACTGTCTCCCACAGTGATGTCTTCTCGGTTACCTGGAATTTCCAGGGAACTGATGAAATATGTAAATGTATCGGTGTGTAAAAACATGCATCTATACCAAATTTACTTGAGTTGCAAAATTACAATTTTTATTCTCGCATCTTAAAATTCCAGAAACACTTCCAGGTCATTCCCACATCTGTCCATTCCTACAACCTCTGTTCCTTTGAAGCAAAATTAAAAAAAAAAAAAAAAAATGCTGAGTGTGGTAGCACATACCCAATTTTTAGTAGTCCTGTTAGAGTCTGTAAACAAGTCTGGATGGCACCTGGCAAAGTGCCAGAGGGAGTGGTTTGTGAAGTAATGCCAGCGAGCCATTAAGTGTGCAGATTCCTTATTGGTTGACTGATGTATTTAGTTTATGTTAATTAGATAAGCTGTGTGGAATGTATAAATACCGTTCCTGACCTACAATAAACGGCTTCCACTCCTGCTGTATCAATGTACACAAGTTGTTCATCACCCCCGGCCCCTGGTTATTTTGCTGCAGCCAGACTGCGGCATAGTCCCAACCTCTTGGGAGGCTGAAGTGGGAGGATCCCTTAAGGCCATCAGTTTATTTAAGACCCCTGGGTTCAATCCCCAGTACAAAAATAATAATAATTGATGCTGACCAGGCATGGTGGTGTGCAACTGTAATCCAGCTACACAGGAGGCTGAGGCAGGACACAGGGAGAGTTGGAGACCAGCCTGGGCAACATAGTGAGACTCTCACCTCAAATAAAAAAAGAAAACAAAATTGGTGCTAGATTCACTGCTATTTCTCCATAAATGGCAGAAAGATGAAGCAATGCTGCATCTTCACCCTTCCAAATCTGATACTTCACAGATAATAAGAGGTTTTGAATCATAGCCAATATAGCAATAAGGCTTTAATGCTTCAGAAAATGTATCTCTGAAAGATTAGATGTGAGACTTGTTGTTCAAATTGTAAAAGGAAATCTCACCGAACTCATAGTCCAGATAAATGCCAATCCATCTGGGTTTTTCCATTAGCCACAGAGTGCCTGGGACAGTGCACTGAGCCACGTAAACGACATTGTACAACTGAATCGTCCAGCATCTGCTCAGACATGACAGTGACCATTTCTCATTTCTGGAAATGGAGTCTTGACAAACCCCCACAATCCATTCAGGCATGTCATCCTCTTGGACTTCCCAGTAATGTCGGCCAGAATCTGCGAACCCAGAACCACTGGATAAGCCATGAATCTCCCTGGATTCAGATGAACAAGTTCCTCTCTCTGCACAAATGTCACACGCTTTTTATCCTCAGAGACAAGCAGATAAGGATGTGCTGTTTCAGGATCCAGGGTAACCTCTTCTCTAAACTTCTGTCTTATTTTCTTGAGAGCTGAAAACTGCAGAGGAAGAATGAATTCTTCTTTCCTTAACTGCAAGGACAAGAGAGCTGGGGATCTGAGGCTTTCGCACCTGTGGAAGATGCTCTTAATATCCGTCAGCAATTTCACTTCCGACATCATCTCTTTTCTGTCACCTCCATCATTAGATCTTTCATCTTGTAAATGTGGTCAGAAAATGCTTTCATGTTTGCGTTGAATTTCTTTTCAATAGCCCTCTCTTCTTTGTCTAACCTTGGCAGAAACTGCTTGTTGCTCCTGTTCTACAAATTGGTTCGGATACTTAGATTCAAAGGAGAATTTCTGTCTCTGGTGTTCCATCTTCTTTCTCAGTTCTAATTGATTTTGGTCCCAGATGATCAGTAATTTTTCAAGGTCCACCACTTGCCTGTTCGGGGGTTCAATATAACTTTTCAGTGTTTCTCTGTGGTGAGAGGCAGCCTCCTTGATGGGCCTCATGTAGTGGTTCTGGTGGTCAGGGGGCTGAGCACACAGGGCGCACAACAGCTCCAAGTCCTCCTCACAAAAAAGGGTCATGGCCTCATTGTGCTTCTCCGTAAGCTTGTCTCATCCTCCCTCTTCCTGCTCATATTGAGGTGGAGGAGCCTGGCAACTTCAATCATCCTTCCCAGCTGGGTGTTGCTCCTACAGTGCCCTTCCTCACAGTGATGATGACAGATAGGACAAGGGAAACCGTCTTGCAGATCTGCCCAGTAATGCTGGATGCAGGAGTGACAGAAGTTGTGTCCACATTCGATGGTGATTGGGTCTTTCGGGTCATCCAGGCAGATGGGGCACTTGGCTTCTGCCTGGAGATCTGCAAGGGCTGCTGCCAGCACCAGCATACTGTTACTGATGGTATGGACTCAGGTGGACTTTCTTGGGAGGTAGCTTGGTGGGTACTCTAGAGTGAGAAGTAGACACACCCTTGAATCTCATCCTCTCTCCTGTTCTGAAGGTCTCCTTGTCACTGAAGGGTAGTCTTGATGTTCTTTTTTTTTAAAAAAGATAATTTTTTAATATTTATTTTTTAGTTCTCGGCAGACACAACATCTTTGTTGGTATGTGGTGCTGAGGATCGAACCCAGGGCGCACGCATGCCAGGCGAGCACGCTACCGCTTGAGCCAAATCTCCAGCCCCGTAGTCTTGATGTTCTAAGAGGCCACTGGCCTCAGTGACAAAAGACAGGGAGCCAGGAGTTCCACTGCCACTTGTAGCTGGTCAAGGATTGATTCATGAACTAGCTGTTAAGAGCAGACCATATGAATCCAAGCTTAACAATTCTTCTGGTCAGTAAGATAACAGGACTCCAAAGTGCTTGGCTGTTCCTGAGGGTGAGAAAATATCATTCATTTAAAAAAGATTACCATTTTACTGGTGATGTTTCTTTTTTTTTAACATTTATTTATTTTTTAGTTTTTGGTGGACACAAATCTTTATTTTATTTGTATGTGGTGCTGAGGTTCGAACCCAGTGCCTCGAGCATGCCAGGCAAGCGGGCTACCGCTTGAGCCACACCCCCAGCCCTGGTGGCGCTTCTTAATGCCACATGAGACAATCACTGTCTCTTGTTTCCACCCCTAGCCAACTATGCATGGCTCCACAGAATTGCAAGTGTGGGAGTCTGGGGGTTAGATCCTTTGTCTCTGGGCTAGAACATATCTGAGGGACCTGGGAAAGGTTCTTATCATACTCAACACTAAGAAACTAAAGTACAGCTGGACGTGGTGGACACATGCCTGTAATCCCAGCAATTTGGGAGACTGAGGCTGAAGGTCCACAGGCTTGAAGGCAGCTTCAGCAACTTAACGAGGCTCTAAGCAACCTAGGAAAACCCCATCTCAAAGAATAAAAAAGGGCCGGGAATGGGAATGTGGCTTAGTGGTAAAGCACCCCTGGGTTCAATCCCTAGTACCAAAAAATAAAAAAAGAGGCTAGGGGCAGTGGCACATGCTGGTAATCTCAACTGTTCAGGAGGCTAAGGCAGGAGGATTGCAAGTTGAAAGCCAGCCTCAGCAACTTATGGAGACCCTAAAAAAGTTAGGGAAACCTGTCTTAAAATTTTTTTGAAAAGAACTAGGGATGTGGCTCAGTGGATAAGTGGCCTTGGGTTCAATTCCTAGTACCAAAAAATTAAAAATTAAAAAGATCTGGTGGGTGGGGGTATGTATGTAACTCAATGATAAAGTGCCCTGGGTTCAATCCCTAGAATAAAAAAGAAAAAAAAAATCAAGTACAAAAGGGTAAAAAATCCAGCATCACTGCTTTTTTTTCAGTACTGGGCATTGAACCCAGGGCACTTATCTACTGAGCCACATCCCCAGTCCTGTTTTGTATTTTATTTAGAGACAGAGTCTCACTGAGTTGCTTAGTGCCTCCTTGCTGAGGCTGGCCTTGAAATAGAGACCCTCCTAACACAGCCTCCTGAACTGCTGGGATTACAGGCATGTGCCACCATGTCTGGCCTGTCCCTTCTTAACTTATGTACACAGTTCATTCTACTATTCTTCTTACCTCCCCTCTCTCTCTCTTTTCTTTTCTTCCTTTCCTTCCCTCCCTCCCTCCCTTCCCTTCCTTTCTTTAAATTGCTGGTGCTGGCCTGGAACTTGAGATCTTCCTGCTTCAGCCTCCTGAGCCACTGGGATTACAGGCGTGAGTCACTGCTCCAGGCTCATGTACCAGTTTATAAGAATTAAGACACTCCTAGTTGAGTGTGGTGGCATGCATCTGTAGTTCCCAGGAACTCAGGAGACTGAGGCAAGAGGATCACAAGTTCGTGGATGACCTGGGCTATTTAGGCAGACTCTGTCTCAAAATAAAAATCCCCGAGAAGGGCTGGGGATGTGTTCAGCAGTGAAGCTCTCCTGTGCTCAATCCCTAGTACAGGGGGCAGAAAAATTAAGAAGTCCGCAGGCCCCACCAAGTTCTTTTTTTTCTTTCTTGGTAACAGGAATTGAACCCAGGAGCCCTTGACCACTGTGCCAAACCTGCAGCCCTTTTTTATTTTCTATTTCAAAACAAGGTCTCACTCAGTTGTTTTAGGATCTCACTAAATTGCTGAGGCAGGCTTTGAAATTGCAATCCTTCTGCCTGAGCCTCCAGAGCGTCTGGACTTACAGTGCACCACCGAGCCCAGCACTCCCCAAGTTCTCATACCGCAGCCTTGAAAATTTTGTCCTCAAGTTTGATCCCTAAAATCCACCTTAAGTGTCACTTCTTTCGGAAAGACCTTGGGAAGCCTAAATTCCTAGGGTGACACCTAATTCTACACTACAGATCCACCCACTCAGCCTCTGGCTATGATATCCATTATGCTGTCTGCATCTTCTGCACCAATGGGTTGGAAGATTTTATTCTTTGTCCCTGGTTCCCACAACCTAAATGATGATCGGTCCTCTTGCATTTTAAAGAGCTGATTGTGGGCTGGGGATGTGGCTCAAGCGGTAGCGCGCTCGCCTGGCATGCGTGCGCCCTGGGTTCGATCCTCAGCACTACATACAAAGATGTTGTGTCCGTCAATAACTAAAAAATAAGAAAATCTCTCTCTTTAAAAAAAAAGAGCTGATTGTTCCTCTAGCTTTTCAAAACCAATCACTCCCTCATCTACCCCACCGTGTGACCCCAGACCAGCGAAGGAGCGGCGATTAGAACTCTCCCACTTTCTAGCCATGTGGGAAGATGGCGCTATAGAGATAAGGCTTTTCAAACAAGCCTGTTACGAGTGTCCTGGTCTTAATTTGACCCTCTAGCTGGTCTCATAGAAATAAAAACACCAGCTGGGGCGGTGGCACAAGCCTGTAATCCTAGCAGTCCTGGAGGTTGAGGCAGGAGGTTGCGAGTTCAGAGTCAGCCTCAGCAACAGTGAGGCACTTAGTGAGACCCTGGCTCTAAATAAAATACAAAGCAGTGCTGGGGATGTGGCTCAGTCGTAGAAGGCCCCTGAGTTCAATTCCTGATACTCACTCCCCCCAAAAGGAAGAATACAGTAATGAAAAAGTTGACCCTATCATGGGGGATGGGTGGAGGGGTGCTGGGGATTGAATCCAGGGCCTCAAGATTCTAAGCTCAACCTCAATGAATGAACTACAGCCCAACGGGACTGAGAGGCTCAGTTGAGACCTACCGGGCCCTCCTCACTGAAGGAGGTCCGCCTAAACCTCCTAAAGATCTCTTCCAATTGGAGGCTCCACTCCAATTAGCCTCATTGGGCATGCGCGAGTTCTTTGCCCGCCCACTTCCAGGGACAAGCCAATCACTGTGCGCACGAAGTGCACTTCCGAGGGGGGTGGTGGTGGTGCTCTGCTCCCTTTCTGGGTCGGTTCAGAGTTGGCCCCGGTCCTTTGGCTGCGATCCGCGGTTCTACTCGCTCCAGGTAAACGGGGTATGTGTGTGTGGGGGGGGGGGCTGTAGGAAGAAGGCCCCCAGAACTTGGCGGGAAGCTTAAGCCTTGGGGTCTCCTCTAGTTCTGTGGAATCCTCTTTTGGGAAATTCAGGATTCCAGGTGGCGCACGCTGGAGGTGAAGCTCAGTGGTAGAATGCTTGCCCTCTGTGTGCGAGGCCCTGGGTTTGTTCCCCAACAGGGCCTGGAGGAGAGGTTTGGAGGAACACCAATTTGGGGAGTGGCCACGTGATCGTCAAAGAATTATTTGAGGTGTTAGGGAAGGATCTGTTACCTTACAGTGCCAGCACTACCCTAGCGGGTCCTTGACTCTGCTCAGGGGTCTTCTAGGTAGGAAGTTAGTAGTAGTTTTACGGATGAGAAAGTTTAGGTCAGTTATGTTAAGTATCATCTAAAGTGATAAAGGTGAAGCCTGAGAGCAAGGGCATTCACAACAGGTTAAATTTATTAGCATAATGTTTAATGAGCTCCGAGCTCCCACTGGCCCAAGGTGTGTAGTTACAAGAATCAGAAATAGGGAAGAATTCAGGCCATGAACCGCCACACTCAATAGTGTTCTCAGTTAAAGGTTGTCAAAAACCAATGTAGAATCTTAAACCATGATCTGTGGTTTGGTGGTTATAGGGAGCCAGAAAATGAGAATGGTGTCCATGTTTTTTTTGTGCTGGAGATTGAACACAGAGGCACTTAACCACTGATCCAAATCCCCAGACCTCGGGATCTTCCTGCCTCAGCCTTCCAAGCTGCTGAGTTACAGGCGTGCACCACCATGCCCCTCTGGTGTCCAGGATTTATTTTGATGCACACTATATCTTGGTTGGTTTGTTTGTTTTTTCCTGGGAATTGAATCCAGGGTGCTACATCCCCAGCTCTCACACCCTCCCCCTCCCCCACTCCTCCCCTTCCCCTCCCCCTCTCCTCCTCCTCCCCTCCCCCTCCAGGTCCTCAGGGCCTTATCTCTGTGCACTCAATCA